TTTTGCCCCGTTCAATTTACAGGGATGTTGACAGCAGGTTAAAGACAGGGTGTATGTGGGGGGAGCGAGAGAGGGATTAAGCGGTTGGTGAATTTGATGGACGACAACGCTTTACCGCCAGTCGCTATACCACGCATGCAAGTGCGTGCGTGCTAGCGCGCGCACGCACGCGCACTCACTCACCTGTGCACACACGCACATCCAACCCCGTGACCAGATACACGCGAAAACGCACTAAACACGTCCGATTTGTTCCTTGAAACCGACTTCATTTGAATAGTTTGGAGCCAAGTCTTATCCTAGCCTTAAAACAGACAGATTTGTTCGTACGTTACAAAACGAGCGCGTGCAGGCGCGCGCGAGCGCGCGCATACTTCCGTATTGAGTGTACAATTAGTACTTGGCACGTAAGTCAGAGAGAGAGAGAGAGAGAGAGATTAAGTCGCCTCCAAGGATGAGTGTGCAGTTTTGAATGGAGTTGCTCATTTTCTGTTGTAAAGACACACGCACGTGCGTGCGTGCGTGTATGTCTGTATGCATGCGACATGTGATTCCTTATAGAGAGAGGTCTCTCAGACCGATGAGGAAAACTGTAACTGGTAAGAGGGCGACGCGTGTCCCGTGGCCAACCATGTCGGCTTTTTCTGCCTATGGGAGACTCTCACAAGCGCCGGTTCTTGTCCTATCCCATCGGCGCTTGTTCTCCTGACTCCGTTTTGCTCGATTTTACCACACACACTCACACACCCGACAACCGTAGAATGGAGTCATTTTTTTCCAGACAGTGATTACACACGAGCGATCGAAAAGGCGAAAGCCACGTGTCCTTTGGCGTGTGCAGGGTATCCAGGACTAGTTGCTGTCAACTAGACTTGGCAGGCAGGCAGGCAAACAGGCAGACTGATTGAGAGAATAGTTCTGTTTTGCCCAAGTAAATTCCAGTCCAGGTTGTCTGTGATTGTGACTCCGCATTGCCTGCAGAATATCTCGACGATTTCGATGATTAAATAAACCATGAACAATTTCACAGCTCAAACGGGATCAATCTAGTCAGCAGCATTGTCGGGTCGCATCGATCGTCTTGATTGAGATAGAAGTCCCGATTGTGGGATACCGTATGCAAATCCCTAAGGATCATCCATGTATTAGGAATACCATTGGTTTTGAGCCCAATTCTAACTTTTCCCTGCAACATTCAACTTGCCCATATCAACTATTTAATCACGAAATGATTGGTGTTCAAGAATAAGTGATAGTGGATTGTTTCTGCTACTTAGGTAGGTGTGGAACCAATGACAGTAATGAAATCAAGGTGAATAACCACCAGCATTTCCAAAGCACGAGAATCTTATGTAGAACTGAAATACGTTTGTTGCAGACGTGATGTTTCGTTGAAACTGAAAGGTAGTGTATACTGTGCCAGTGTGCGGTTAGTTAGTTCTGCTGTATGATTGCAATACCCCAAAATTTGCGCGTGGATAATTTCGCGGCATATATTAGATAACGCTTCGGTGGAAAGTTCGTTATCACAGTGAATTAAGATTAGTAGGCTTCGCTGGTTGGGACACGTATTGTGCGCGTGCCCAGCTATCGTCTACAGCAATGTGCTTTTTCCGGAGTTCCCGGCTTCAGGCTGGAAAAAGGCACTTGGAGGTCAACAGCGAACGTGGAAACAAGACATGAAGAAGTGCTCGGAGAGATTAGAAAGAATAGTTGTCTCTCCAGGCTTGGGTACAACAGACTCGGCAACTGGTTGTTTGGAGACACTGAAAGATTTGGAAGGATATGACGTTCTTGTTATCATTTCTTATCAAGTCAGAATGCTTGAAACGGTATGCACACAGAGTTAGATTGTGCTTTCCCATGTGTTGTCCACAGAGGTTCATTTTCTCTGCCTCCCTCCAATAAGGCCCAAACCGTACCCATCTTGCACTTTCTCCTTTACTTTGTTTACATGATGATGATGATGATGATGATGATGATGATGATGAGATAGGCGAAACCTGTTCAGTTTACTGTGTTATGTTGTGTTACGTGTTGTGGACTAAAATAAGCCAAAGTTTTGTTCAACCCTATTGAATCCACCATGGTTCTCGAGGTCACGTGTACCAATGCGCGAACAACGACGATCCATATGGACATTGGCGGACGGCAATCATCATAGGAAGAGCACTGCATAACAATTTCTATTCTGGGATACACTATCACAAAGCTATTGTACACAAAACACTCCGACTTCAATCGTTGTTGTACTGTGGTGCTAGGAAAACGTCGTTTATTGCTGAATTATCAGCATTTGTCATCGACTAACTGTCTATCACTTGACGTGTCCCAGGGGGAGGGACCAGTTACTGAAAGTCAGCACGCTGAATTACGAACTGATCTTTCTACGGATTCGAATTCCAGACCGTTTGTTAATTACTATTAACAAGGGTAAACAATTTTGCCCCAGTGTCTTTCAAAACCGATTAACACGTTTCGTGAATATCTCTCCAATCACAATTTATGTGGCATTCTGAAGGCTATGTGTTTGACGTGACAACGTAAACTGTGACCTCCGTTTCGATTCCTCTTTGTTTCCGCCGCCCCACNCCCCACCCCACCCCTCCCTCACCCCGATCCCACAATTCCTGTTCATCCTCATCAACCTTTCACCCGTCTCCCGTAGGAGGAACATGTCATCGCTCCTGGATCACATGGTCAGTGTCTTTTGTGGGCGTGTAAAGCATGCAAGAAGAAAACAATGCAAGTGGATCGACGAAAAGCGGCCACCATGCGTGAACGACGTCGTCTGCGCAAAGTGAACGAGGCGTTCGAGACGCTGAAACGTCGCACATGTGCCAATCCAAATCAACGTATGCCCAAAGTGGAGATTCTACGAAATGCGATTGATTATATCGAAAATTTGGAAGAAATGTTACAGCATAACGGTGTGTTACCGATTGGTGGATTGTCTTCTCCATTCACTGCAGCTTTACCCACCGGGAATGTGACCAAAGACGGTGTCACATATTATGCCGGCAATGAGAACCGACTGAGTGCACGTCTTCCACCTGCACCGACTGGAACCCCATCTGGTTCGTTGGTTGTGGGTGTGGTCTCAGCTACGACGACNGACGACGACTACTACTACTACGACTACGCAACCGCCTGTCCACACGACAACACCAATTCCCAACACCACCACCCCTGCAGTAGCATCCACCGTCCCCTCCGCGGATGCCAACCAATCCCGTCAGAATGTGAAATCCAAAATTGGGTCCCTAAAAACCGGTCGAAACTCAAAGTCCGAACTGACTAACTCATCATCCGTAGCACACCGACACACACCACTCACCACGCATTCCATTCCCCCTAGTCCTCTATCCTCATCCAGTGGTATTCCCATGACAACGGTAAACCAAACCTCCACACTATCCGCAACAACCATGGCGTCGTCCGGACGTGATTGTTTTCATTCCGAGGAGGTCTCGTTTACGACTGATTCACAATCCATTGGGCTGATGCATTTATCCAAAGTGAGTCATAATCTGGAGAGGTACCACTGAGTGGTTGCTTTCTTTTCTTACACGCCTCATATAATCTGATTTAGTAAGAGATGGAAAACGTTTCACCAATGATTGGTCCCCGGGTGTTTGGTTAACATCTAGGAAAATACGTTTCAGTAGTAGTAGTAGTAGTAGTAGTAGTAGTAATAGTAGTAGTAGTAGTAGTAGTAATAGTAGTAGTAGTAGTAGTAGTAGTAGTAATAGTAGTAGTAGTAGTAGTAGTAGTAGTAGTAGTAATAGTAGTAGTATTCTATATACACATACAATATGGCAAATTGTAATAGAAAGAACGTGTTTGGTGTAGGTAAGTGATTTCGAACTCACTGATAGAAGTTTTGCAAATGGTAATACGGTCCATCGAATATCAAAATCTGGGATGCATAGTTCCAAATGTAAGCCCTTTCAATAGACACCTCCCCAGTCACAAATCGATCGACCATGACAATGCAAACCAGCCGACAGAGAACTGAAGAAACCGGTAGACAGATGAGGCTTTTCCCAAGGGGTGTAGAACGACGACAGCGTAATCGTTCAACCGTCTAGATAACGCGAATGTGCGCATGGACACGTGTGGGCATGAGGCTGCTAATTCATTCTGATAAATGATTATATGTGAACAACAAAACTACCACAGTCTGTTTCCTGTCTGTTGTGAACAACACAAGTTTGCTGTCGACCAGCGATTTCTTCACAGACCCCAGTCAAGGTGCTGTGCACATTTTTAGGGCTTTACTGATGATGAAAGTTCTGTCCACAGTCGAATTTGATTGGCGTGAACCGGAAGATAGGTATGTATCATGAACTTTTGGAGGCTTTCAATATATATGTTCGTCAATGACATAAAAATGCGAATAAAATAGGCTAAAATCGAGAAGTGTAAGAGGAATGGAGGATTTGATTTGATTAGATGCTGAATTCGTTGTACAAATGAGGCATGGACAGCTATCTCGATCTGATTGGATCTCACTAGCAGTGCGAATTCCGCGGCCCAGCTGGGGATCGAACCTAGGATCACATAGGTAGAACGCGAGTACACTACCCACTCGGCCACCAGATCAGACCGTTTCTCATTTTAAATAT